CTTCTGGTTCGTTACGAGACGATTGCTGCTGCTGCAAAGGCGTTAAGCGTGTTTTGATTATTAGCGGTTCCAACCGGCAAGAAGTTGAAATAAACTGTTTCTATAGATCCACGAAATGCTATTAACGATATCGGTAACCGGTGGTACAAGTTTCTAGAAGCGTAAAAGCCACGTACAATGTAGACAACTCGACATTAACGACGAGAAAAATGAGCTCGGGGTTGGCGCGTCAAGCAGAGATTTATCCAGTTGAGAAATAGCCCTGGGGGAGAAATTAGAAAATTTCCTGACGATTGTTTTTTTTCTTTCTTCCTCTTCTTCTTCTTTTACTTTCTTTCTTAAGATTTGATACGTCAACACGCTAAGAAACCAATCGTTGGAGCCATCGATCGGGAGTTGTCGGAAAGTAATGAACAAATTAAAGCACATCTCGTCTCAGAAGTAATGCAGTTGCTTGATGTATCGAACGTTTGCTTGTTGGTTCGGTCCGGAATGTTAGAAATGGATGAACTTAGCGATTTTATGACGTTAACGAGGAGTGGCGCCGATCGAAATGTCGTTGCTTCCAACGTATTTTCAGAGGGAGCAAGATTTCTGAGGACGATAAAAACGTTTCTGCTATTGAATGAAATTACTTTCTTGTAGTAATGGTCCGGTGTTTAATTTTATGTTTATCGAGATATTCTTCCATACTTTTTTTTAATAAACATGCCAACGATACGCGCGCTATCAAAAATAGAATCGAGTGGGATTTAAGGATGCTGCATTGACAAATTAAACATCATTCGGCTTATCTTGTTAAATTCGTGAGTTGTGTTGATGCAGGTAATTAAATAAATGTGCCAATAATGTTGTAAACATTCTAAGTTCTTGAAAATTAATTAACATTTGCATCTTTTAAGTTTCCTAAGGAAGGAATAATTCGATTTAGTAAAATTTGATATGATTACTTTGCTAGAGGGAATGTTTGGGTGCTGTTTTGGCATATCTGAATAAGAATTTTAAAAGGCAGACGTTGGATCAATCGATGTACGGGAAAATCTTGAGGTTATCAAGGCTATTTTGTATCTTAATTCTATGGAAAAGGCATAAAAGTAAACTGATGTAGCTCAGACTGGAGGCCTTCATAGTTGTGTTCAAACTGAAGGCCATGAAAGTTGAGGCTCAATTGGTTTGAAATTTCATTGAGGAAAAAACATCATTTCTCTTGAGTAATTTAGTGTTTACCTGCACCACATTCTTCTTTAAGTTTTGAAATTAACTTTATCTCTTTTTAAACATTTTGATATCAGCGATATTTAGAAAACTTTCCGAATATATTCACTGCTTTGATGGCTAATAACATTAAGGTGAACATTCGTAGCTGGCTTATTAATTTGTTAACGCTTTACAAACAACCATCGAGCTTCGCCCATTTTAATTAAATAAGGATATAAGTTACAAACTGCTTTTTTCATTGTTAACGTGTCTGAAAAATAATAAATTAAATATTAATATGCAACGAAGTGAAAGAGATTTCGAGAATTTCATACATGTAAACATGTGAAAATCGTTATTTTAATGGTTCTGTCTAACTTTCTTCTAACAATTAACATAACTTTTGCAGCTTAACTGTGTGAAAATCCACTTATCTATACACTGAGAAAGCTAAATAACAGGACTAATCTATACAATAAGAGGGCACAAGAAACAGGGTCGTCTATACAGTGAGAGGGTATAAGAACACTACTCAACTACACAAATATAAGCAAGATAACAGGACTCATCTATACGAGAAAAGAATACAAGAACAAGAATCATATGTACAATGAGAAGGTGCAAGAGGACTTAATACAATGAAGAGATATAAGAACAAGGCTTTGTTTGTAGCTCTATATAATCACAAGATTCCAGAATAAGATGTATCTCTACAAGAACAGGATTCATCTGTATGATGGAAATAAATCATTTTATCGTGTTCTTTTAGAGATATGTTTTATCCTTGAATCCTGTTATTGTATAGATAGAAGCTTTCTTTATGTGTACTGTACGTGTTAAACCTTATAGGCAAGTTCACCTCAAGCCCCTTCTGTACCCACATACACCAATTCTCCTTTATGTAATGGATTAATGTATAAGTACTACGAAATATAATAGTTACACATTAGTTCAGTACGTACGAAAACATAGAGCAAACTTAATCATGAGTTTCATTGTTAGGTTACCTACAATACCTTTCTACATAAAGCCATTCAATTATTTAGAATTCAAGCAGATAAAACTCTGATGAATGGAGAAAAATCTAACGAAAAGCTGCAAAAATAAATAAATAAATGTATTTGATAGTTTACAACAGATTTTCTTGTATTCTGTCTTCGTTAAATATTTACTTTTCCGATTCATCTCAGTACGACAGCTATTTTAAATAAAAGAATACATATGCAAATTTTTCGCTTCTTCTTTCGTCAAAATATATTTTAAAAATTTCGAATATTAATTTTAAAGATTCATAAAAGTTTCAGCTTTATAAGGTTAAAAAAAATTAATATTTTTATTAAATAATTCTTGAAAATTCCGTAATTTTGCGTCAGCAGGCGTATAGAAATTCTATCGGTAGTTCAGTGATCCGAAACATAGAATTTGATTATATTTATTTCGGTTGTAATCAATTTTGATTACGAAATTTTTTAGAATTACTTAATATATTCAACGAAAAAGGTAATACAGTATTTACATATTTATGTTCCTGTGCCTTTTCATTATAAGGATGAGACTTGTTCTTGCTCTCTCATATTATATAGATAAACCTTGTTTTGCGCCCTTTGATTGTATAAATGTGCCCTGTTCTTGTGCATTCTCACTGTATAAATGTCCCTTGTTCTTGTGCAGATTCGAGACGTGAACATTAAATTATAAAAAGAAATCTTCAATATTTACTGCATTGACGTATACAGTTTTAAGTAAAATTCTATAATTTACCTAAAGAAATTATAATATATTTTTTACTCTTCTGACGTACGGAACAGAATATAGAAGTAGAAATTACTATTTTTCTCTCTTGTTTTTTTGTAAGAAAACTGAAAAGTTTAGAGCAGGAGCAAAACTAAATTCCGTTGTCATCACGAGGAGGAGAAACGTCACATTCATCGGGTCACCGAACTTTAACCGATATTCACTTATCGAAAAAAAGAAAATATGATGTATTTACTTAGTCATCGTATAGAAAAAAGATACATTCTGTGATAACCTCGGTTGTGAAAGCGCGATGTGTCTATGACAGGTTACGTTTCACATCTAAATAAAAGATTAGGAGAATCGCCTGTAAATTTATATAGTCGGATATGAATCAATAGGAAGTGTTGGAAGAGTGAACAGGCAGAGGATACGTGACCTCATTGATAAAATTATCTTTTAAGGGTTGATTTTGTAATATGAGATCTACGCGTGAAGGTACGTGGTATACTTTAGCAAGCACAGGAAGAGATGAAAAGTGCTTCTGTTTCCGCTTTAATATCCCTTTATAAACTTTCAAGAATTATTCTATTACTGAACTTTTATAACAAACTAATATTTACTTGTAATGTTCAGTTGTATATACTTACTGTTTCTTCATTTCAGAGAAAAATTTACGATATAAATAGATATATTTATCTTTATATGAATAATTTATGAGTTACATTAACTATAATTACATTAACTATCATTTTTCGATATAGGAGCCACTTGTGAATCATTTTCACTTGTAGAATGTGAACTATTTCCATTGTGTGAAATTTATTCTAAACTAGTTCAAACGCATGTACTTTTCGTGAACTAGTTCCTCTGCCTAAACTATTTTCGAAGTACTCTTAGTTGTAGGAGTTATTTGTAGACCCGTTTATAATTGTGAACCATTTCCAGTTTTATGAACTATTTACGAATTATAAAGGAACTAAAATATTGATAACTTCAGTAAACAGCACGCTCACTTAAATAACTCAAGATCCAGTTGAATTTCGTTCCTAATATGAATCATTCGTTCTTCAAACGGCAAAAGAACCAAGAACCAAATAGAAAAATTTGTTTGATTCCAGATATTTGGGTTCAGATTTTGGGTGCATCTTTAAAGAAGCGCAAAAAATCACTAAAGAAGCAACAAAGTTGTTGTAAGTAGCAAAGAACACTGTCTGCTATTGAGTTAGTTCACCGTAAAAACAGAGAAAAACTTGGTCCAGTAGGTATGGCCATCGACCCTCTTTTGAGGCACATAATTGCCCCTATCGACCTCGAGCTACGACGACAATTTTGGTGACCATTCGGGGTCGACACGTTCCATTCTACTAACAAGAGAAGTTGGCGAGTGGCATAATTCCCCCCGCAGGCATTTATGTCTCGCAGGGTTTAACACGCGCTGCCAAGGCAGCACCGGCTGTTTCGGTAATGGTAGGAGTCAGATCGATTTCCGATGACGAGGACCATCCGTTCGGCGATCACGTGACCTCGACGGGAGCCAAACTTCTGACGTTCGTTTTTCTTTAAACAGCTGACGGATAGAGAAAGAAGAAGAATGAGTTCCGAGCCATAAACACCTCCTGTACACAGAAAACCATTTAAGTATGTAAGTTTTAAAATTAACTTTAGAAGAATGTTCCATTTAGTAAAAGAGGGAAAGAATTGTTTGCATCAACATATTTTTTTTAAATAATTTTTATAAAAATGATGAGAAAGATGCTCGAGAGCACCTGAACCGACAACGTTTTTCTTAAAGATGCAGAACGATCGATCGTGGGTCAAAGCGGGGAATAATCTTTACAATTGAAGTTGTTACGTTTGTCTGTCTGTGATGCTCGGCGGGGAAAATGTATTTTTATGCAGTTACGTTCGATGAATCGATTGATTGAATTTAATCGGGTCTTGTTCTCCTCCTCTTCCTCCTCCTCTTCTTCTCCAGAGACCGATAAGAAGTGATGCCTTCGATTTTTTCCACCAAAAAAACAAAAATAAAAATGGAATAATGTTTCGTTATTCCACTTTTTTCATCGGTCTAGCGGATACGAAAATTCCTGAGGTCTTACAGATACGTTACGCTAGCTGAACTTTCTAACTTTTGTGCTTTTTTGTGGCGTAGCCTTGGCGTGCTGCGTATAGCCGTCTGGGTTTGCATTTAACGCTTTAATCGCTCATTAAATTGCAGTGCTTTTGAGCCACCCCCTTAGGGGATCATATATTTTAATTTTAAACCCCGTTCTAGTTTAAACTTCCCATGCAAGATGCTTATTCTCCAACTTGATCCTCATCCTTTCTTTCTCTTCCAAAGCTCAGAGTTTCCTCAACTACGTTCTCCTGTGCATGGTGTTTACCACATGGTTGGCCTGTCGTTCCGGGGATCGTGGACTCATCCCCATTCTTCGCGCCAGGGGTTGGAAATACTTCCTTCTAGCAGCAGTTGACGTAGAAGCCAACTTTCTTCTAGTGAAAGCTTACCAATATACGACATTAACCAGCGTGCAGGTGAGTACCCGCTCTGCAACATCACCAATTCGCGTTTTCGTTAGTTCACGTCCTACATCCGGGTGAGAGGAACGATCGATGCGGCCGGCTGGAGATAACGTCGTACGGGGGGGTCGAACGGAGTGACGTCATCGGCGGTTGTTAAAAGGCTGTGGAGATATTCCGAATAACGGGGAATTTACCACGAACGAAGCTCTCGTTTAACCGTTTCTTTCGCGTCACAATAGACGGGGTTATGGATACGTGAACGGGTATCGATTCGGAAAATTTTCATATAGCCATAAACCTGCCACCCCCCGATAAAGAAGGGGAAGGAGATTTAATCGTCTCGAGTTTATAACGCTTGTATACAGGTAAGGGAGGGCAAAGACTCATCGATCGTCTTCCCTGTTACTGGATGGTGATGCCTAGCATAGGATAAACCATCCGAGACACGGTAAACCGGTGCGAATTTACACAAAAATCGGGTTTTTTTTGTCATGTCCTAGCCGGCGGCTATTGCCATCCGTGAAGCAAAAATTCCTCAGTAAACTAAGTTAACGTCTCTGTCTGGTGTCAATCTGATAAAAATCCTAAAGATAATTAGGAAGGTAGAGATTTTGATGTTGGGTAGGCTGACAACTGGATCAATGGTTTCTCCTTCTTGCCGTTGTTCCTCCAGGCGATGCAATGGAGCAGAATCCAGGTAAGAGTTTGGAAATCAGAACTAGTCCTGGTAACTGAACATTTCGGTCGTTAGAACAGGTGCACAATTGTCAATTTTCTTTAACTAGCATCGTCCGGTTGTACTGAATGCACTATCAATACTGATTCAAGATCTCGCCTCATCCTGTAGTTCCAGAAAGGCCAAAATTATCTAAAAATTCCCTTTTTATACAAATTAATACAGATTACAGACGTTAATAGAAAGTTAGATAATTCGAACGATTGGTACCGATCGGACGTGACGAAATTGTATTTGATGTCACGATAGTTCTTTTTCTAGTTAGACCAATTTCTGGTACCCCAATCTAATAAGGGAGCGCACAATCCGGGTCTCTTTTTCCTCTTTAACAATGGCAGAGAATTTCCTAGAAGCATCCCTCCTCCTGTAAATGCTAGCCCTTCCGGAACGTGAGAAGAATCTCCCTCGAATTCTCTTAATTGAATTGGTTTCTGACCGTGTTCCCGGTTACTTAGTACTGATAGCAGGACACGCGAGTAGCTAACTAGACACCGCAGCCAAATCCTCGCCATTTATCGGACGTAACAAGTTAAGAAGCGTGGCAAAGCATATAATTCCTTATGGCACAAAACTAAATCAATGCAACACGTGCATGGCTAAGAATGGCGGGGAGTGCATCAACTGACCATCCTCATTTCCCATCCCCATTGGAGGGATCTTCTTCGCGTGTTGATTCACCCAGCTGACAATTCTCACTTGAAGCATCCCCATCTTTAAGCCCCCCCAACAGAGGTTCCTGTTAAGAACTCCAATCCTCAGAACGAGGGTATAGTTTGGATTCTATAATACTCTTAACGAAGTCTGACGTGTACTCGAACGGAAGGATGATCTTTTTTTGGTAGGAGAAGGGAGTAATTGTGCACGATTCAAAGTCGAAACATAGCATGAATTATGCAAGAGGGTGGAATAAAGAAACTTCGACACGCGCATTAATTTGCAAATTTTTCAGAATTTCGAATTTATCTTTCTTTTCCTTCCCCCTTTTACAGTTGCTGGATTGCTTTACTATCCCAACGGTCCTTGCTCTATCCTGGATATTTTTGAAAGTCCGTTATAAAATTCTACACGTTCTAGGAGTTGGCATAGCGCTCCTAGGAGTCGGATGCTTAGTTTGGGCCGACTCTGAAGAGGGAAAGACGCAAAGGATGGGTGAGTAGGAGTATTTTTCTCCAAGATTTTTCCTATTTAACTACTAATAAAGCAATAATTAATAATGTTTTACTGCATTCTCCAACAAGAACTTTCGTGACTTGGCACGCGTGTACTTTGAAGCACTGCCAAGTCGAATTTCGTGTAATTAAATAACTCGCTTACCGAATTAAATCCATGATGCATATCATTTAACATGAAGTTACTCGTCAGTGATTAATATCACCTTTAATTATATTTTAGCCTTTGAATTTTTGTGTTTTAGACGTTCAAAATCTCCCCAAACGTTCAAACATTCTTCGGGGAATCCAGGATTTGAGTCGCGATACTCTTGGATCATTCTGCAACTTCGGGAAGATATGCTTATGCACGTATAGGGAATGCACGCGGGCACGTTTATAGGCGTAGAATTCGCCAACCCCGTTTAACCGGGCGCCGGACTATTGCCGATTAACCGGATAATCGATTTATTAGCGTTCCATTCCCTTAAACATTTCTGAAACTTTTACACGAACCAAGCAAGAAAGCTAATCAGGGAGTCAACTTCTGATCGATCTTCTTAACGAAAGGTCAAAGAGGATGAGAAGTTGTCATTCCAGGATGGATCCGTTTCAGGGTTTGTTATCCGGATAATGATTAGAGGAGCGTGGTGCTGCTTACCTATCAAAAGTGACAATGAAAGTTTCAACTTCTTCCTCCTCCCCGGCATCCCGGAAAGGAGGGGGAGCTTAATAAGAATGTAACATAACTCTGTTAATAACGTCAGGGGATGGAGGTAGTTAACTCTGTGACAGATCAGTAACATCGTTATGTGTTCTGGTATCGTCGGAATCCGTAACGAGATGTTTCACGGAACTTCATAAATCAAATTCGTCCGTCCGGAAGGGACCACGTGGTTTCGTGAAAAATGTAATCTTCTCCGGAATTGACACGGCATCCCTCTCGACGTTCCTGATTGGATATTTCGGCAGGGGGAAAAATCATTATCGAATGTCAGTTTGTCATATTTTTGAAATATTTTCCACCCTTTGATGACTGTAATCATCATTTCATTATTTCTTGTACCTATTTTTTACTTCGGGCAATTTACTCTTGTAACGCGTTACCCCCGATGATGGAGGACGTAGAAAAGTCTATAATATATAGCAATTTTTCATCGTAACCTCGTTTTTCCGTGCTTTATTGTCAATGAAGATTTTTCGGTTTTTTTTTTTCTTTTCGCTTTTCCTTCTTAAAATTCCATCCAGAAATATGTTTAATGCTTTCTTTCTGAGTATTTTCTTCCTTACATTGGATGCTCTGCTTCTTGTTATCTTTGTGAATGCTCTTTCCGTCTTTACTTTTACTTTTGAGTGTTCTTTTCTATGTTTGATGCTCTGAGTGCTTGTTTCTATGTTGGATGCTGCACTTCTGAGTGAACTTTTTTATATTGGATGCTTTATTTCGGAGTGATCTTCTTGTACTAGATGCTCTAGTTTTGAGTGATCTTTTCACCATTGGATGCTCTACTTCTGCCTGTTCTTTTCTACCTTTGATACTCAACATCCGAATGCTCTTTTCTACTTTGGATGCTACATCCGATTGCTCTTTTCTGCATTGGATGCTTTTCTTCTGTATTTTTCTTTACGTTAGATGCTTTACTTTTGAGTGCTCATTCTACACATTATATCACCACTTCTACGAATTGTTTTATTGTGTTAATGCATTTTTTAAAATCTTTAATATTGAATCTCTGAACTATATTCTTTTTCTCGAATGTCTCTATTATATTAAATGCTCTTTTAACTAACGACAGATGCTCATATATCTCTTTTTAAACCACTCTTCCTTAATATTAAATGTCTTTTTTTAGTTATGAACCTTCTTTTTGACTGCTTCTTCCTCGACGAATGTTCCTCATAGACATACCTACCTTCCGAGTGTTTCTTTTATATCGCACTCTCTTTTCTCTAGTGTTTTCCTTCCTGTTTCCTCCCAAGGAACAGTTAAAAAAGTCATGTTTATCTTGGTGCTCCTCATATGTTTTACCTGATTGCTCTTACTCCCGGTCTTCCCTTTCAGGTAACATTCAGCATCTGATATTCGTAACAGTGGTCAATATTGCGCAGATTAATGGCATTTTAATTGAAGAAAAAATGTTTTTTTTTTCTTTACGTAAAACCCGATTTAACGGGATTAGTTTGTCTACATTGATCCAAACTAATCTTCTGCGCGGAGTTCAAACTTGCACGGCATGTTAAGCGTGTTTAATGAGGACATTCATTCCTCGTGTTCCAGGAAAAGCTCCGAAGATTATTTTCCTCCCTGATGACGTCACGGCGCAAGGGGGGTTCGTTAATATGACGCCATACGACGTTTCTTAATCCCGTGTTTGTTTAAAGTTTCGAATTTCGTGCTTCTATTTAATCTAACAATAAAATTCTGATTGAAATTCTTTAAGAGTTTGATGTTTACAACGGATTTCTAAGGTTCACTTTTAACTTGTTGTTTTTTAATTAAAGAAAATAAATTAATTTTTATCTACAATTAAATATGCCGTTATAAGAATTTGATTAAGTTATTAATGGCTACAAAACACAAAAAAAGAATCCAGCAACGAGTTGCAGAACTTTCCCGGCCAAAAGAAAACGTTAGAATTGATCATGGCTCCAATCGTTACGAGATTTTAATTTCTAAACTTTTTATATTATTAATTATTATATTTTAAGTGGTATTCTGGAAGAAAATTAGCTATTTTACATCCAAAATGGCATATTTTTTAATTAAAGTTGTTATTTAATTATTCTACTGCGTTAGATCAACAAGATTATGCATTTTTACTAGAAAGTAAATGCTTTTTACAGCCATCCTCACGTGTTTTCCTATAAAACGAGTAATTTTTAGACCAGTGCGTGTCTTGTTACAAAACAAGTGCTTTCAGGACCCACAAAATCGTGTGTTTCGCTAGAAAATGGCTATTTTAGGACTCAAAATGTTACAGATTGTGCTAGAAACGAGTAACTTTCGCACATACAACGTCACGTGTTTACTAGAAAATGAATATTTATAAAACCTAAAATGTTACCTGTCTTAGTAGAAATAGCTTTAGAACCATGCTTTCCTGCTTTAACTCAATAATTTATCAAATATTTTTAGATTTATGCCAATTATACCTACAAAATTACTTACCAAACCTACTAAATAATCCTCAAATTTCCTACCAAACCTACTAAAAACCTACCAAATTTCCTACCAAATCAACTAAATAACTAAATAATCTACCAAATTTCCTACCAAACCTACTAAAACCCTACCAAATTTTCTACCAAACCAACTAAATAACTAAATAATCTATCAAATTTCCTACCAAACCTACTAAAAACCTACCAAATTTCCTACCAAAAACCAACTAAATAACTAAATAATCTACCAAATTTCCTACCAAACCTACTAAAAACTTACCAAATTTCCTACCAAACCTACTAAATAACCTACCAAACACGTTTCTGTCGATACTTGCGTAAATTGTTTACACAGAAACAAAACTCAATTTAAAAAGAAATAAATAAATTTTATACCCAATTATCTAAGAAAACTACTCCCAAGAAAAAAAAAACCCGAAAACACGACAAAGGAACCAACATTGAACTTACTTTTTTTTGTAAATTGACAGCTGGATAAATCCTCCTTCACCTTTCACTCAACGTGATCTCCAGGATAAAAAAGAAAGAAGGAAAAAAAAGGAGGAAGAGGAAGAGAAGATGCTGCGTAATTGTTTAAATCGTCGAACGTGATGCCCTACAACATTCACGGATTTAGAATTATCTCGTGGAGTAGTTTTGCATTTGTTTGTATGGGAGAGTGAACGAGGAGTAAATTAGTTCAATTTTCTATCCCCCTCAACAGGGGAAACATTTTCTTTTAATGAGAAATTGCCACTCTTACTATGAGAAGTGACGGGATAATCTCCCTCCTTCAACCATCTGCTTCTCTTTAGTATAAAGGATAGAAAGAAAGAGAATAAAATGCTTCCATCGCGTGTTACCTTCTAAGAACAGTTCGATAATAAAATTAAAGATGGAGTAGTGGGTAAACTTGTAACAGATGTTCTAGGCAGGCAATTCTTATATCTCTAATTTATAAAGCTATATTAATCAGTTTATATAAGGCTATATAAATGATATCTAGCAATAGTAAACCTAAAAAAAAGCATTTTCTCGTACTTTATAAAAGAATTTATTCGAAAATAAAATATAACTAACGTTCTAAATGGCTAAAGATACAAGAAAATATCAACAAACATAGGCGGTTCTCTGCACATTTTTAAGATATTAACTTTAAAATATACTTAACGATGATTGGCTATTACGTAGTAAGCTTGACGCTAATTGGTTATTTCAAAATTTTAAAGTTAGATAAAAATATAAAATTGATTTTTAATGGAATTTAAACATGTTTAAACATGCTTTGATTAACTGTAACTAGAAATAGTTCAGTTACAATTTAATTAAAAACATTTTGATTATCCTCTAACTATAAATCCTATTCCACCCTTTACACAGCGTGATCTTCGGAATGGAAAACAGAAAAGGAAGGAAGAAGAGGACATGTCGCGTAATTAAAGGATTATTCCTAACGTAATTAGGAACAATCCTTTAATTAAAAATAACATGGCTTTCTTTTAATTAGGAACATCTTGATAATCCTTTAACATCAGATTATATTCTAGGAACATCTCGATTATCCTTTAATTTAGGAGCATTATTAAGTTTAAATCTTTTAAATTAAGAATACCATGATTTTCTTTTTAATTTTCATTTTGATCATCCTTTAAATAGAATCATCATGATCGTCTTTTCAGGCACATCATGATTACTTTTTAATTATATTTACATTGTCTTTTAATGAGGTTCATCATGATCATCTTTTGATTAAGAGCATCTTGATTATCCTTTAATGAGAGTCATCACGATTATCTTTAAATTAAGAGCATTTTGAATATTCTTTAACTAGGAAGAACA